CCAAAGGCCCTGAATCCTGAATCCTAATCTAGGACATTTTCAGGTGGGTAGTTATCGTTATGGGAGCCTTATAGAAGGTCCATATACCTTATAGAAGCCTTATAGAAGCCCTAACCCTTATGCAGAGGTCGGCACGGTCGAAGTTGGCAGAGCGTGACGTCAAAAGCCTCAACAGCTCCCTAAACCCTAAACCCTAAGGATGGGGTTGGGATTCTTCACGCCAGCAAGCCTGATGGCAGGTTTACGAGTGCCGGGCCTCAGGGGTTTAAGAGCGTCGGGGCTTCATGTGCTGACCATGAACTGCAGGACATTCATGGGTAATTCTCTAAATTAGGGCCCCTTTTAGGTCCCCAATACAGTACGGCACTCTTATAAAAAAATGGACCCAAAAGGGACCCTAATTTAGTATCCATCCATCCATCCATCATCCATCCATCCATTCATGTAAACAAACCATCAATACAGTGCATGCATGCATGCATGCATTCATGCATGCATGCATGCATGCAGGCAGGCATATATGCACACAGACAGAAAGAAAGCCAGGTAGGTGGGCAGGAAGGCAGGCAGACAGACAGATACATTTATACACATATATACGTACATACATACACCTACATACATACCTACATACCTCCTTACGTTCTACCTACAGACCTACACACATACATACGTACATACTTACATACATACATACATACGTACGCTCTCTCTCTCTCTATATATATATATATATATACATAGAAGCTGACGGCCAAAGCTTGTGTGCCTCTGCATGCTTGTCTTCTGCCGGAGAATAAACCGAGCGTAGCTGTTCCAAGCTGCCTGCTGTTGCAGTGCCTGCTGTTTTCTGCGCGGCTGCTAATCACAAGATGACGGCTCAGCACGATGTCTCCTTTCCTGCAAATACTGGTAAGTTCTATCACAACATGCTTTATGTACTAATAACGAACCAACCCTAAGCGTCCATATGCCACCATGGTAGATGCGTAGGACTTACAGGGCCTCCTAAAAGGGTACTCTACAGTCTCTGTCTATATGTATATACATACATACATACATACATACATACATACATACATACATACATACATACGCACGTACCTGCATACTATTTGCTATAAGGGTTCTTTACAAGCCTTACCACAGCGATTGGATCGGTGGACTGAGAAAGAAGTAAGGTTGCCCGTCTCATAAGTACCTTACTTGCGACTAGCAGTACTTGACAACTTGAAACTGGAGCTACCTTACTCACAACCCTCCTGACGTCCCGAGAACTTGCAAGCAGGCCTCCTGGTCACCCCGTTTGTGTGCTCATATAATGTAGGGGCCTTGATAATTAGAATAGGGCTTGGGGTGTACATTCTACGATTAAGTACACTAAGGAGCCTCCAGTATAGTATAGGTAGTTCCCTAAACCCAAAACCCTAAAACCCAAAACCCTAAACCCTAAACCCTAGACCCTAAACCCAGATATTCTGGCCCCTGTAGTAAGCCCTGAAGGTTTGAGAGTGATCTGTCAGCAAAGAGGCGACTCGCCGTCTTCTTTGGACATCATCCTTACGGCGCCAGGAACGCAAGGGTTTAGGGTTAGGGGTTTAGGGTTTAGGGTTAGGGGTTTAGGGTTTAGGGTTTAGGGTTAGGGGTTTAGGGGTTAGGGCTTTAGGGTTTAGGGTTAGGGGTCTAGGGTTGGTCAGGGATTTGGGTATAGGCTTTAGGGTGTAGGTTTTCAGACGGTTTGGGGCCCAGGGCTTAGGGTACATGGGTTTAGGGTGCCTAAGTTGGACGGTCTGACTCCATGGCCCTAAACCCTAGACCCTCACCGAGGCAGCACGGCGAGTTTCGGGTCGATTCTGGTCTATCTACAGAACCAAGAGCCCTCATTTAGCTGGGTTTAGGGCTTTGGGTTTGTCATCATGTTACCCTCAAGCGATGGTAAAATGTCACCCGAAATTAGAGCCCAATAGAGGGTAGATGGAAGCCTAAACCCCAAACCTCTAAACCCCTAAACCCCTAAACCCCTAAACCCTAAACCGAAGGTCTAGGACCGTTCTTGTGAGTATGTGGGGTCAAACTTGCATCCTGTCCTCGGCCCTACCTATAGTCTCACGGTTTAGGGTTTAGGGTTTAGGGGATCCTAAATATAAACCACAAGAAGGGACCACCATGCAGCGTGTAGGTGGGCGCTCAGTCGGCAACCATCCCCCGGTCAGACTTCCCGAAACCGTGCTATGGAAGCCTAAGATGGGGGCCTAAATAGTTACCAACACTATTTTCTGGGGTTCCTGAACGTAAGTTTAGTGGGTGGAGGAAAGACCGAACTTATAACTATGGTAATTATAAAAATACCCCCGAACTCTGTCCCAAACCCTGTTCCAATTATTACCCAAGCCCCTGCATTACTTTCAGGCTACTACTATTCCATAGGGTGGCCCTTGCCATATTTCTTAAAATATAAATACAAACCACAACCCGGCCCCGCGTCGATCGACAACTTGAGGTTCAGGGTCTAAGAGGTCAGCGCTGAAGGAATGGGTCAGGAACTTGGCGCTTGCAGATCAGACCTAAACCTTCAAGGCTTGAGGACCCTAAACCCTAAAGCCTAAACCTTGAGGACCCTAAACCTTAAAGCCTAAACCAAGAAAAACCTAAACCTTGAGGACTGAGAGGCTTTAAAGCCGAAACCCTAAACCTTCAAGGCTGGAGGACTTGGAGGATCATGGGACTTAGTAAGTAAGGTTATAAGTGCCCTAATATGGGTTATAATTATAGTTACCTTCTTTATAACCCTAGTTACTAAGTCCCATGATCCTCCAAGCAAGCCATAAACCTTTCTAGCAACCTTGACTTCCCCCAGCACGCGACCGCTCCTGGGTGGTGTGGGGGCCTGAATTACCAATACTATTTTTCTGGGCTCCTGACTGTAGTTATAGTATAATACAATCCTGACTATAGTTATAGTATAATGTAATCTTGACTATAGTTATAGTATAATGTCACCCAGAACCCTGTGCTACCCTAAAACCTCCAATCAAACCTAGGGCACACGGGCTAACGTCCTGACGAAGCCTTCGTGAACAACGCCCCGAAACCAAGCAAACCCCTATAGACCTACTATAGACTATAAACCCTCAAACCCCAAAGCCTTGAACCCTAAACCGCAATTACACCCCAAAGTCTTGAACCATTAGACCCGATGGCCTGCAAGCCAAGCCTGATAATTTAGATCCTAAAACCCCAAAGCCAGCAACTCCTTACGATGTAGGCTTCCGGGTTCCAAACCAAAGCCCCAATCCCTTGCAAGAAGATGTAGCTCTAAAGCCGAAAAGTTCCTAAACCCTAAACCGGAAAGGTCCTAACTGCAAAATGCGATCACCCGTAAAACCTAGAGACTCCAATATCCCTTCATTGAGGAATATACCCTAAATTATAGTAGGATTCCTGATATGATTTAAGGTATATTCCTTAATTAAGGGATATTGGAGTCTCTGGGAACCCCTGAGTACTTAGCGACAAACCGTTACAAATCACAACAAACCACAACAGGAGCAGTCATAGTGCTCGAGCCGGAGCACCAGTACTAACGAACAATAACAGAAGTGATAAGTCACTACGAATACGAAAAACAACAACGAAGATGTCGATAATGCAGAAAACTAATGATAACAGAAGCAAGCAGTTGCTGTATCATATTTGTTATCAGACAGCCCCAAAACTCAAATCTCAAACAAGTCCTGAACCGGAGACCCCAAACCCTATATCGGCCGGGCCGACAAGGGGCATCAAAGCCCGAACGGCCAAGTGAGGAAGGCCCCGATCGCGGGCAAACGTTAGGGCCTGGAGTTCAAGGGCTCAAAACGAGGCCACGGTAAACCCTAAACCCTAAACCCCGGTTTAACCCTAAACCCTAAACCCCAACACTAAACCTCTCAAACCCCTAAACCCTAAACCCCGGTTTAGGGCTTAGGGGAGCAGGGTTTTGGGGTTCAAAGGTTTGGGGGCTAGGGGATGCGGAGTTGAAGAGCTTGGGGGCTAGGGTTTAGGGTTTAAGGGTTTAGGGCTTTGGGTTTAGGGGTTTGGGGTTCAGGGTTCAGGGTTAAGGGCTTTGAAAGGTTTAGGGTTTCGGGGTTTAGGGTTTACGGGTTTAGGGTTGAGGATTTCGGGGTTTGAGAGGTTTAGTGTTGGGAGTGGACCCCTCAAGAACCACCTTCATGGCTTCCATAAGGGTTTATGTAGGCTCTGCCTGGAACCCTCAACATGCTACCTTTTTGGGGCTCCTCCTTAATATGGTTTCTTTATATGTCCTTAAAAGGTATAGTATCAAGGTTAAGGACACTGCAGGGTTTACAAGCTGCATGAAAAAGGGTTTCACCTGCGGTTTATAAGGGCTTCGATGGGGCTATGTAAGGGCTTGGCAGGTGCTTGGCTTAGTCGATCCCCTATCTTTCAGGGGAGGAGGGCAGCGTTGAAGTTCCTAGGATCTGTGTAGAAATCTCAAGGTTGTTTGTAGGCGAGGGGGTGCTTCTCAAGAAGCAAGAAAGAATGCTGCACTGACAAACCGAAACCGGAAGATTGACGAGAGTCACAACTAGAATATGGAGGGCCGCACTGGCCGGAGTCGTGCACGGAGAGAGAGGGAGACAAAGTCAAAGACAGAGACGGAGAGAGACAAAGAGATGTACATTTCTATCTATATATATATATATATACATATGTAGACACACATACTGCGGGAATCAAGGAAGGTTCAGGCAGGAAGCCGCAGCTGAAACGAGCGGCAATGCAAACATTAATCCTAAGCCTATGCCCTACACCCCACAGGCCCCGACTCCGCACTAGTGCTCCGAATCCCAAACTTCCTGAACGGTTCAAAATATTGAAGATCCTAGATCATGATGTCCTGAAGCTCTCAACCTTAAACCCTGCATGAATTATAAGCCATCGGAGTTTCAGAGAATCGGAGCACATCACAAACAACCAGGACATAAACGCACTGTGGCCTGCTGGGCATAGCTGCCTGTGTGGTCCTGCTGGGCGACCTTCCGGGGCGGCTTTTTTCACCCGTCGCTGCGCTTACAGATATGTATGGATGTCTGAGGGTCTTCCCTGGTTTCAGTGGGTGCATGCTTTGCCTGTTTTCGCCGGCTTGGGCTTCAGCGTTCAGGGACCCGGGACGGCTTTTGGAAACAGGGTCTGACCTTCTGAGGCTTTGCGCCGGTGCCAGCAATGAGAATGAGCGCAGCAGCACAAGCACAAGATCTGCGCAGCAGCACCGGCACCTAGCAACAAGAGACACCAACGTCAACCTGACAAGGAGATTAAAACATGCTGTTCTCAACCCTGGTGTGTCATCTTGGCATCCGGTGTTTGAACTCCAGGGCGCCTTAGCAGGTCTACTTAGAACCGCTGCTACGGGACTCCTTCGGTGCTTCTGGGACTTCGAAGCTTCCATGTGAAGTTTCAAACGTGAAAAGGGCTGTGCAGACACCTCAGCTACGGCAACTGTTGATTGCTTGCAATTAAACATACCTAATAAAACCCTTAATAAACCCTCTAGGTAGATATCTGTGGCCAGTGTCAGATGCTGAGGGAACGCTATACAGCCTGAGGCTTGCGGTACTTGTATTTGGCTGTTAGAGGCGTGGCATAGGCATAAGGCTTATGAAACGTACAAAAACATGGGCTGGAGTCTTCAGTGCAACGGCTTTTGGCGTTCAAGAGGTCATGCTTTCGATTTTGTGCATGTACTCATGCAACTGTCGGTTCTCGTGTTGCGCTTGCAGCAAGGCATGCTCTGTCTTCAATACATCCACTTCTGCAAGCAGGGCGTCTGCCGCCTCAAGCAGACCCCGTTGCCGAAAGCGCTTCGCCCGCTCTCTTGCAACGTTGATCGTTCTGGCTCTCTGCAGTCCATTCTCGTCCAATCTCTTGCCGAACATTTGATTGCCAACCATCTCCGCCATGGCAGAACGCACTTGCGCTGTATTCTGAGCATTGAGAATCAGGGCCAACTCGGCCTGGTCAGCTTTGCGAAACATGCCGGCCTGCAGCATCTTCTCAAGGATGTGCTTACACTTCGACGTGGTACTTATTGTCAACTCAAAGCCGTTAAAGCACTTCGAAATACGCCCATGCCAGCCGATTTCACATTCCAGAAAGCTTTGCAAGCATTCCAGAACTGTGACATATTTTTGTTTGATTCGCAACACGAGGCTATTGCCCCCCCTGAATTGTTGAATGTAGCCTTCGGCATCGAAAAAACCGGCGAAGTATCTCCAGGAAACCCCGCCCGCTATGCCAGAATCGTAGCGTTTCAGTGAGCAGAGCTCCTGTACACAAGATTCTCTGCACGCTGAGGCCCCAGGCCAGTTCGCAAGAATTTCCAGTTGGCGTCTCTTGGTGATGCTGCAAGGGGCCAGGCAGCTTGCAGCATCTCGAGCGCTGCGTCCACGGATGCGCCAACACAGAGTTGGCTTCTGGAGTCCTCGTCCATCCCTGCCACGATATATGCTTCCGCCAAAGGTGCCTCCAAACTGCAGCAAAACCTCAGCCCCATCAACGGCTTGTGGAACAGTCAGACTTCGGTGGGAACCGCTGACACATCCGTCACCGTCAAAAAAACCGGCCAGGTACTCCAGATTCTCATGCTGGTTCCTCGGACAACGTACATCTCTGTCAAGAAACCTTTTCTCAGGGTGCCAAGGGAGCGCATAGCGTTGGCCCGCAACTGCAAAGGAGTTGAGACGCGTCCAGGGCATTGATGCTAGCCTGCTCCGCAAGTGCCGGTTCTTCTGGTTGACGACATCGAATGAATCTCCATGCGACACCATGCAAGAAGCTGCAGCCAGTCGGTGTTCTGGGCATTTCGGCGCGGTCAGCCAGCTTTGAGCAGTGGCAGCATGTCGGAATACCGGTGTAGCAGTCAAAGATCCTTGACCAAAGCGTTGCCAGGACAGAGCACTTGGCAGGTGGAGCATGCCTCACAGCTGACCTCGCTCTTCCTACAGGATCATGCTGGAAAACGACAGACCTCCACATTTATTTGTGTTGTCGACTTGACCCTCGAGGCATCATCGTCCCAAAGGCCTTGTCTCTATTCAGGGTTCAGCGCTGCTGGATTTGTACCCTAAACTCTAAGCCGTAAACCCTAAACCCTAAAACCCTAAACCCTAAGAAGACACTGCCAACTGTACAGCAGCCGTGCAAAGCACAAACCGAATGAGTCCCGAAAGAAGCTTCCCGAAGCTTCACTTACTTGCAAAGCCAAACTTGGCACAGATGCCCTATGAATTGTCTTTTTACCGATCTTGGTAGAAACTAAACATCATGGTTTCCTGATTATGGTAACGTAAAACTCAAACGGTATGTTCCTTACATTAAAGAACCCGGCAAAACCCGGGCCTGAATCCTACACCCTGGTAAACACCCCAAATGATTTCGAAGCGTCGAACCTGAAACCCAAAACCCTCAATCATAAACTCTTCATCCTAAACCCCTCGTAGATCCCTTCAAGTACCCTTAAAAGCAAGCCTGTTTAAGCACGTTTGAAGGAACCCTGAACCCTACATCCTCAGCCGACCTTCTTCTTGAGTTTTGCATCCACCTCTGGTGGTAGCTTCTCCTCCAGGCTTGATTGCGGGTTTAATGTCGGGGCCTTAATAACTAGAATTGGATTTTGGTGGTTCCTTACTGTCGTATAATATACCTAAAACCCTTGGTCGAATTATTCAGGCCCCTATATGAAGCTTTTTCTCTTGAAGTGGGTTGAAGGTTTACGCTGCGGGGTTTAGAGTTTGGAGGCTTAAAAGCTTTAGGGCTTTCCTCTTGGAGGCATGGGGTTTCGGGAGGGTTTAGAGTAAAGTTAAAGGGTTTTGGGGTCTTGGGTGTTTGGGCTTAGGGCTTAGGGGTTCAGAGTTTAGGGGTGTAGGGGTTCATAGGGCTTTAGGGTGTTTATGGCTTCATGAGGGCTGAGGGTTTGGGTTTAGGATTTCAGGGTTTAGGGTGTCCTGCCACGCTGGCGATGAAGATGATGATGGTGATGGAGGCCGGTACACTACCGATCAGAATTACGATGATGATGATGATGACGATGATAATGATGCCACCCGTCCCTATAGTAAAGTACACCACAGCGTTGCCTCATACAGTTGTATGTATATATATATATACATATTTGTATACACATACATACATACATACCTACATACCTACCTACCTACATACATACATACATACATACATACGTACATACATAAAGATATATCTGTATATATATAATATGTATATATGACTGCAGCTATACTACACCAGTGTTCGAGTACTGATGGTAATGTTGGTAAGGAGGAGGGGGAGCTAATCTCTTTAGGATAACAAGCTGTCTGAGCTCGCAAAAGCCTTCTACGCCCTAATCGCCTCTAAAACAAACCCCAACAAATGTCATCAAACCCGGCAAAGCACAACAACAAAAGAGAAACCGACGATTAAGCCCCCCTGCAACCCCCCTTCCCCAGTATTGCTTTGCAACACCCTAAACCCTAAACCCTAAACCCTGAAACCCTAAACCCTGAAACCCTGAAACCCTTAACCCTAAACCTTAAACCCTGAAACCCTGAAACCCTGAAGCCCTAAACCCCAAACCCCCAAATACCAACAATCGGAGAATCCTTGGCTCCAGCTAGGTCCGGGCGGGCCTTGGCTTCCTCGGCCTGGAGGCTGTCTTTGGCCTCGGGCTCCTGGCTTCCGTTTTTGTGTTTCAGGCTTCTGTCTTTTGCTTTGTGCGTTTAATATTTCAAGGCTTTTCGATGTAGGGCTTCAGCTTTCTATCCTTTTGTTTGGTGCGTTTAATACTTATGGAGTTGATGTTGGTTTCAGGTTTCTGTCTTTTGTTTTGTGCGTTTGCTGTTTTAGGGATTGGGTTGTCTAATTTTACGGTTTAGGGTTTAGCGCTTAGGGTTCAGTGTGCCGACCGGGTTCAGGGCTAGGGTGGGTTGAAGGGTTCGGGGTGCAGGGCGTAACGTTGTAGGGGCTTGGGCTTTGTGTGCGTACGTGCGTATTTATGTTGCTGAATTCCTCATGCTCTTGTGTGATCGCTTCTATGGTGGGTTAGGGTCGAGGCTTCTGCAAATAAAGGTTCTGTCAGGCTGAAGCTTGTGCAGTTCCTAGCTGGCAGACCTGAAGTATAAGTCTTTAACGAATTACCCTGCTCCCTAAACCCTGAATCCTAATCCCCCCGGAAACGCAAGGCTTTGTATTGAGAGAATGCCCAGGCTCGGGTTCTGCCTCCGCGCTTCAAAGCAGCTGAGTACTACCCCCAAGAATCCAGTTACCCATCGTGGGGTACTGGATTATGGATAATTACTTATCTAAGCTCTGAAGACATG